CAGTAAAGTGACTGCTGGTGTTTACTGCTCGTTGTCTTTGTCTCGTTGCCACTGGCTCCATGGTCTCTGGTGCCCTGTGCCTTTTGTAATACATGTTATTGTACTTTGAATCTGTTTTGATACAACAACTGTGTGACTAATATGCCAAAATAATGACGTGTGATTTTTATCTATTTTCTTAAAGGGCATCTCGTCGTCTCGTTTGCGCTCATTGGTCTCGTTTGTAAAGGTCAGAGAGGAGATGGAGAAATGTCAGCAGACTCAGATGTTCTGTTTAAAATGCAACCTGGAATTTAAAGTGATATTTCACCTAAAAATCAGACGTTCCTGTAGGTTTGAATCGATGTAAGTTGATGATGGGTTCTGATGTTTTCAAAGTAGACAGAAAATATCTTGTAGCAGAAAAATCAAACCAGAGGGAAATCATCACAGCAGCTGTGAGTGAGTTAAAGAGAGGAAGGAGTGGAAAGAAACAAACGGCTGAACAAAGTGATATTAATGGAGATTTTCAGCTCTGATAAACCTCAGTGGCTCAGACTGAAAATGAAATTCAGGAGCTGAGAGCTGCAGTTTCCTCTGCATCCCTGTGCCACTTGCTATGACTGTTTTCATTTTTGAGGGGGTCCAAATGTTTCCACTGCGTCAGACTAAATCAATCAACGTCTGAATCACTTTCCAGCAGCGCTGCAGCTTGAATCTGTGTCCCCACTGTACACAGTTGTCTTGGGAAGCAGAATCATGAAGGCAGCTGCAGATCTGTGTGTAATCTGTCTCAACTCTTTCTGTGTAAATATCCCTGAATACATCATAAGGCCAAATTACTGTATGTTTATATTGTACCTCTATATATTTTCTATTTTACTATAAGAGGTGATTTTCTAGTCATTTACACATATATAACTGTGTGGATTCTATTTGATAATTTTAGCCTGGAAATATTGATCATGTTTATAGTTTTAATGGAATGTTTCTCTTTTTATCTTCATGATTAAGTAGCAGCATAATGTCTACACCTTTATCTCCAGATGTAAACTGGTGCAGTATGTATATAGCAACAAAATTAAAGATTTGATTCAAACCTTGTCTCATTTTCTGGAAGGGAACAAAACCAAACTTATCCCTTAGAGGTCCCATATAGTCTAAAGGTAGATGTCCATGTGTTGTTTGATTAGAAAGCAGGTCTATTTCTATGTTAATACTGTGAAAGTATCAAAGCGTTCAGTCCACAGAGAAATGCACACAGCCTGTATTCAGAAACTGAGCCTTAAAACCATATTTTATTCCATAAATCAGAAAACAGTCAGCCAATCAGAAGAGAGGCTCAAAACCTCCTCTCTTCTGATTGGCCTGTTGTTACTAGAGCTCCAGAGAGAAGCCTGAGAGAGATGTAAAACTACATTGAGATGTTTTTTGGTTCTTAAAACCACAAATATATCTTCTTATGGATCAACTCTTCAAATAAAACACAGGAGAAGAGGAAAATACCTTTAATTTCCTTCAACAGTCTAAAACATGTGAAGACACAGGACAAAAAGGATTATAGATTCATCATGCTTTTATTTATACTATAATACAATATAATATTGCATTGTCTCCCCTGATGGACCTGTACATGACATGATAGTAAAGACAAACAAAAGTCAAATAATCAATGCACAACCATGAAAGGTTAACAAAGATGAAGTCAAAACCAAAAATATATATTTCTATATAATCATATTAATATTTGTCATTACACATACTGTAGCAGTCACATAAGATAAAGTGTATATAGTGCATTAAGAATAAACCTCGCTATGCAGTGAGAGTATGAGTGCCCAGCCTGGAAATACTTCACACTTTTTTTTTTTTCTTTTTTCACAATTTCTGTAAAAATGTCATTTTTTCAGACACTTAAACCTGAAGCAGACTCCTGCCTCCACACGCTGCATGGACACAACTCTGAAGGTCAATACAACTACTTTCATCCAATCACATATTGTCCTTTAAGCCTCACACATCTGGGTTTGCGGGTGTTTACTCACTATCTGAGGTAATATCACTTTACAGAGGCACATGTTTTAAGACGGGAATTTTTTTTTCATTAACTTTTTGTGCACCATCATGCTGGGTTTTACTTTTCAAGAATAATATTAAATGAATTAGCAGATCTGTTGGCTCATCCCAGTGCTAACAGACGGTGTCTGTGTCTCAAACACCGTAGCTGGTTAGAAATCAGCCCTGAAGCTGAAGGACTGGGTCTGACCCCAATGACCAATTCCCAACAAGTGCTCGAGGGTCCGCGGCTGTCTCATTGTATAATCATCATATCTGAGGGCTCTTAATGTACAACAGTCTAAAAGAAGAAGTCTAAACATCTCAGGGCTTAATAAGCATCACTTTCCTCCATCTTTCAAACCAAAGCTGTGACGGATTAGAGAGTGAAATGCTGATTCCATGGTTGACGTAAACGCATTCAAAGAGATGAGAAAAACAATCTTGTATTTCTGATCCAAAAAAAAAAAAAAAAATCCAAAACATTCTGATTAACAGAAACCATTGATGCTTTTTTTCTGATTGCTGATCATCTTGATACGCAGCCCACTTTTATAGCAACAACTTCCACCACATGTTCAGAGTAGCTGTTAATCAGTGACCACATCAGCTCGGCGTTAGGTTGAATTTTATCTCATCTGTACCGTGGCCCAGAGAACTCAACACGCTGCAACTGGAAAAAACGCATGCAGACAAAACACAAACAAATTCAGGAACTATCTTCATCAATCTGACAACACGTGCTGCGAATACTCACAACACGACCAAATACACAAACACGCTGCGTGTAGCACAGACGACAACAGAAGTGTTTCCAGGGGACACAAAGAAGTGATGAACCCAGCTTGGATGCTCTTGTTGTTCAATACTTTTGAAGTTAAAAGCACTGAACTAGTGTGCATGGTATTATAATACATCCATGCAAGTGCGTCCCAGACAGGTTCATCACTTCTTTGTGTCCCCTGGAAACTCCTCTGTTGGCGACTGTGCTACACGCAGCGTGTTTGTGTATTTGGTCGTGTTGTGAGTATTCGCAGCACGTGTTGTCAGATTGATGAAGATAGTTCCTGAATTTGTTTGTGTTTTGTCTGTTTGCATGTGTTTTCTTAAGTCGTTGTGTGTTGAGCTCTCAGGGCCACCGTACATCTGTTTCTTCCCATCTGTCTGAAAACATTTAGATTTGCCTCATACAACTGGTTTTATGATCTTTTCCTATTTTTGACCGAGTAAACTCATTGGTGTTTTTTTTTTTTTTTTACCCAGAAAAAAGTTAGTTTAACTGTGGTTCTTACCTTGTGGGTAAGTGGAAGACTTTTTTTCTTTTTTTTTTTTAAATAAAGCTTTTGATTAACATGAACCTCATCACCCCTCACCCCACCTGTATTTATGTTTCTTTGATTATACACAAAGACACTTGGCTAGAACACATCTAAAAATGTTATCATTGGCACACAAAGATGTTCAAATCAAAAGCTGTAACATGTTATGGAGAATCTTTTCATTTGCCCTGCAGCCGCTGAGGGTCAGTGTCCTGCTAAAAGACACTTCAGCAGGGTAAATGATGGCTGACAAATCAAAATCATGTCCTTAGGTTATCCTGCTGCCTGCGCTATAATGGCAGTTTACTGTAAAGTGAATTCATAGCCTTTGTGACAATACTTGTTAATTACCGTAAATTCTCAAAAAAAAGCCCCTACAAGTTAAGTCTGAGGGCAGAAGGGGGAAATGCTCTTATTGTTGCCTCGACTATAACGGCTAAATTTAGCGTAATCAGCATTTCCACAGCAGTCACTCCACCAGTACAATGTGGTCTGCCTGTGCTTTCTTGAACAACTGTCAAAACTAACTCCTTTTTCAAAATAAAAGCCTTCTAGGGACGTAAAGTGATTCCGAAGAAATGTTTTCATGTTAAAAACACTTGTATTCAAAAAAAATCCTACACACTGTCTGACTTGCAGCAAACAACTTTATTGCGACGTTCGGTCTCATCAAGGAAAAAGAGGTCCAAGACCGAAACGCTGCAATAAAGTTGTTTGCTGCAAGTCAGACAGTGTGCAGGATTTTTTTTAAATACCACATTGGATCCCACATCCCGTTACTACGCACCTGCCTCCCACAGTGCTTTAAAAACCAAACACTGATCAGATGTTAAAATATAAAATAAAATAATTATCAAAACTGGACATAACCTACTGTAAATGGCCTGATTGTTTCTTATGTTGAGGTAAATGAAAACCTGGGCTCCTATTTGAGAATTTACGGTGTACATTTGTTTAATAACTATTATAAATTGTACATGATGAATTACATGAAAGCAAAGTTAATATGTTGTCATGTGAGTGCAAATACAAGTAATACAGGCAAGAAAATACTTTGAATATTTCTTTATATATAAAATATAATTTTTGGGAAAATAGCTACATTCTCTACCTAAAATGCTACAGCACCAAATCCTCCACCTGTTTCAAGCATATGGTGAGAGACTGAAAGTGATCAGACTCTCTGTTTTTTTTTCCTTTTACTGTCACAGTTCTGTAAAAGAATTTGTGGGACTTGATCTGCGTTTAAGTTTTGTTTGGAATTGCGTCCTCTCTAGAGGGAGGCGCTGTGGCGCTCCACAGCATTTCATACCTTGTTATAATTACCATAAACATATAATGATTTATTCCTCTTAAAATCAGAATCTTTTCAAAGCAAGAGAGAAGGAAGTGACATTTTCTGAGAGAAGCAGACACTGCTGCTCATTTTTTTCCGTGACAAGGTTTGTGAGAATTTGAATTAAATCCTCAGCTTGGGAGATCAAGGCAAGTCTGTTGTTAACAAAATATAATATTGAAGCAAAGTATTAGGTTACACATAGCTCTCTTTGTCACTTCTGAATGTGTGTGTGTGTGTGTGTGTGTGTGTGTGTGAGAGAGAGTGTGTGTGTGTGTGAGTGAGTGAGTGTGTGAGAGAGAGTGTGTGTGTGTGTGAGTGAGTGAGTGTGTGTGTGAGTGAGTGAGTGAGTGTGTCTCCTACAGGCTCTGTCATTTGTCCTCTTTTCTTCTCTGTAGCCTTAATTTCCCTGACAACCCTGTTGGGCAAAGAGGAGGCATTAGATAGCAGTACAAAGCACTGGGTTAAGCAGTGTGTGTGTGTGTGCGTGTGTGCGTGCGTGTGTGTGTGTGTGTGTGTGTGTGTGTGTGTGTGTGTGTGTGTGTGTGTGTGTGTGTGTGTGTGTGTGTGTGTGTGTGTGTGTGCGTGCGTGCGTGCGTGTGTGCGTGCGCGTGTGTGTGTGTGTCCTTACAGAGTTGGTGCGTTTGCGTTTCCAGCAGTCTGGGTTGAGTCTTTTCTGTTCATCTGCGAGGGCTTTGGCCTGTAGGGTGAACGCCCGGCGCTCCTCACTTCGCATTTTCTTCCAATGCTCACCAAGGAGGACGCTGATCGCTCTATGACACACACGCACACACACGTTACCATTTAACAAACACAGATACACTGTATGGCTTCATAATACACACCGCAGAGCACACCTACCTATTGTCCTTGCCTGGGTACATCTGTGTGTACTCCACCCTGAACTTCTTGGCAAAGAGCATGAAGGCGTTCATTGGCCGCTTGCACCTCGTGGGCGCGGCGTTACTACCTCCCTGTGCACCGGCGTGCTGGCTCTTGGTTGGCTTTGGATGAGGAGAGCGGGAGTGGCGGGGACTGTGGACATCTGTGGGTTTTAAACAAATTCACATGAGGCTGGAGGTATTTTAAAACATCCTCAGTTCTTGTTCTTACTGTTTCTGCTTATCCACACAGAGGGTTAACTCAAAGTCGGGAGATTTGAAGCACAGTACCTCTACTTTGACACATGTCTCTGTCTGGAGAAGCAGCTCCCCCACTGGACTGGGAGGCGCGCCGCCGTCTGGCCATACTGCTCAACACGTACACCGCAGAGGAGTCCAGAGGAGTGAAGTCATGACTGAGAAAGAGACACACACAATAATCAATCACGTGATCGGCCTCCTTGCCTCTTCAGGTTTTGAACAGCATCCACCATTTAACACTGATTCATCTTCAGTTATAAATCTATGTGGTTCTTTGTTTACTGTTAGTGGAGAATTCCACTGTAAGTGTCTCTTCTACCTCCTAAAGGCGTCAAAGACCAGTGAGTCATCTGTGTGTTTGGCATCTCTGTGTCCTGGAGGCAGGCACACATCTCCCACCTCCACTTCATAGCATGGTATCCCATAATGCACCACAGTCAAGCTTGGGTAGAAGGATGACCACCCTGATAGGAAGAAGGACAGACAAATGTGTAAAGAAGTCACGGCTGGTTTAACCAGTGTCAGTGTTGTCTCGTCATCGCTCCCACCTTTGTGTTTCACATAGAAGGGGTGGTCAAGTTGGCACCTGGCAGTCATGCGGGTGTGTCCAAATGCACCGGGGTCAAAGGTCAGCTGCAGGACGGCCTGACCAGACAACACGACCTCTGAGTGCTCCACCAGCTGCAGGCCCTCAGAGCCATAACTCTGTCAAAGAGAGAGCAGCGTTTTTATACGATAAATATTTTGTCTTCTTTTCTGTTCATCTCTGATTGTAATGACCCAAATTGCTATTTTTTCTTCTACTTAAATGACACAGAATGCTGGTGATGCTAATGTTACAAATATAAACACATTAACACAGAATAACCTGAAAGAGAAAAGAGCATTGGAAAGAAGAACTCGAAGGCCTGGCAGTCTACGTGTAGCCACAAGCTACTTATAATAATTATATATAATTCTAGATAATTATACCTTCAGAGATCTGGACTGGTCCTCATCACAAGAGTCTTCCTCAGCAGACTCCAACTCCTCAGCGTCCTGCCACTCCACATTACAGCCGCTGTGGAAACGCAGATGAGTGCCTGACGACAGAGGAGAGCAGCTTCCATCACATAAACGACAAACACGGATGACAGAAAACATAACAGAGAGGTTCTTTATTTTTTTAAATTCAATTTCTTGTGTGTGTCTACCTTTAAGAAAACAGTGCCAGGCGGTAGCTGGCCAGGAGAAGCTCCAGCCCATGTCTTCATCATCAGAGAGGGAGGATCTGGTTGACACTGCGGAGCCACATTCACTGCTCGTCTGTGGGAATGAGGAGAAGCATGATCAGGACACTGTGAGCCACTAAGTGTTTCAAACTCTAATAAACTAACACATTGTCAGTGTTCACTTATAAACAGCAGATTATTCTTGAGATGTTGTGTTTGCATTAATGACAGCGAGTGGCGATGAGACAAAGAAAAGGAAGCAGGTAAACGATAGCTCTACCCTGCTGCGTCGACGCTCCCTGCTGTGACCTCTGGGGGGCGACAGGCTGCTGCTGCTGGGGAGAGGAGGAGGAGGCCGGGCATAGGAATGTAGATCACTGCTGTTGCTGGAGATGCAGACCACAGAGGAGCTGAGAATGACACAGAATACATAAGGTAACTTACACAGCTGGTGCAATATGGCAGATTTAGCAGAAGTTTATTTAGTTAAGCTTTTAGTTTATATCTTAAAACGCCTTAATACTCTTGTTGTTGCTGTTTTTAACTTCATCTCTTCAGTATTGTCTCTGGGAATTTGTTGGTTTCAGTGACCTATGAAAAAGTCTACATTCCACAATTTAACTGTCAAAGCCAAACTCTGAGTAAACTAAAGGGATTTTTTGGAGGGGGCTGGGGCTGCAGTGGGACTTTGTTTGGACTCTTGCCCTTAGTTTTCTTAAATCCTGGCCACAGCTACTTTTGTTCTTTAAGGCCTTTAAGACACATTACAATGATACATACTGTCAAAACTTTATTTATATAGCATTTTTGTAAATGGTCACAAAGTGCTTAAAAAGTAAAACAAATAATAAACAAAATAAATAATAAAAATGTCAAAAATAATAAAGACTTCCAGAAATTTTTAGACGTAAATAATAATAATAATAATGATAAAAAAAACCTGTCTAAAAATAGATAAAAGTTAAGAAAAGTCTCTCCAATAAAAGTGAGTTTTAGGATGTGATATAATATTCATGCCTTTCATCCATAAGACTCATGTTTTAGCGCATGGAGAGACAAAGTGCACCTGCCTGCTGTGAGGACAGTCCTGTAACAGTGGGCTCTGGGGCCCAGTGGCGATGTGAGCCAGCTGCGTCAGCCAGTGTGTGTCAGGAGGCTGTGGGCTACGTGCTTCTGAATGTGCATGTCGCTCCTGGTGTGACACACCCATCTCCACCTGGTAAACGGGTGGTGCTGTTGGCTCTGCCTCCTCCTGAACCTCCTCTAGATCTGGCAGGTCGTCTGGCCGGAGAAAACAAACAGCAGGAGAAAAGTTTTGTCTGAGAAAAACAAACACCACATGCACTGTGTCCATCAGCTGTGTTATAAACCGGGTGTATGCTAGTGTCTTATTTACCATATTCCATGAAACTGTCACTGGTGGGGTAGACAGGTGAGGAGGAGAAGTGTTCCTCACAGTGGAGCAGGTCATGTGATTGGTCTCCATCTGTATCCATAATCACTCCTGAAGGTGAGAGCAGACAAACAGGAGGTCACAGTGCAGGAATCACACTTGACTAATGGAGACTTTTACAGGTTGAATTTGTTGTTGAATTACATTTAGATTTTAAATTTTATTTAAATTTAAATTTACTGACAAGAAAAGCAATATATTCATATTATATCAATAAAAAGTAAAGCATTACAAACACTTAAATATAACACTCAACACAAGTCAAATAAAATTAGTATATGTTGTGTTTTCCTGATCTATTCCCAATCTATCATTATTATCATTATTAATAACCCTCAACATAATATTACTTATTAATAAATAAGAATAATTACAACAGTTTTTGAATTTTCAAAGATTAGTCTGGCAGTTGGTTTGTAGTTAAAGGGAAACTCCAGCAGTTTCACTCAGCTGTATATCTGTAGCTTTGGAGCAGCTTCCAAAGTTTGAAGAAAATAACCCTCTTTATGTCATATGAGGGTTATTACAGCCTGGGCTTAGAAACCCGACATTTGTGATGGAAAGCCTGCATTACAAACTGGAGGTGAAGAGTTTTAAGGACACAGATGTTGATGAGGTAGCGAGGGTCTATCACAAAACGCAAAAGAGTAGTGTGGATCCAGTTTTTTTTAATCTTGCTTCATACTAGTGATTAGCCTGAATATCTCATCTTCTGCTGCTTTGATTTTAACTGTTCTTTTTTTTTTTTTTTTTTAAATCATTCTCTTGTGAGTCTCCAAACTGTATGAAAGTGCAATTCTAAACCACTGAAGTGCCCAATTAAAAGATTTCTATCAGTAATGATGCAGTATAGGGGCATTACCTGTGTGTTCTGCCTCAGGCTCGGGCTCCTGGACCTTGTGATTTTTGGGGTCGCTGGACAGCACAACTGGGGTCACCACCTCCCACACCATGATGTCCACAGTCACTGAAATATGAAGAGTTAAATTATACACTATAGTTATATACTTATTTTGTGTAGTAGTTTTTTTTTTATGTAAATGGACTAATTTGAACTTTATGACCTAGAGATACTTTAATCTACACATTATTGTCATAATCCAAAACCCCCATGGATATATCACCCACCATCTGCGCGAACACGCGCACACACACACACACACACACACACACACGCACACACACACAGAGACGGAGAGAGAAACACAATCCTTCACTGAGCTGTATATGGTTGGGGTGACATCGAGAGAGACAGGGTGACATAGGGTAACTGGGCTGGCTGCCATTACCTAAAAAACGCACCTAAGTTTAGACACATTCTCAAAGCTCCAGTATATTCTCATATCCATTACTTACATGTTCATTACTTAATGTAATGATATTGATGTAATTTTAATCAACACCATGAAAAAGTCGGTTTGCAACATGTAAACACGATAACATGTTGCAGTCTTATCTATTTCACAATGTCCTCGTCATGTGACTCCCTCTTGTTTATAAACTTTGAGATCCTGCACGCATGCGCATAAGAAGCCCATTCATTCAATACAGAGAAGGGCAGCGATAATACATTTGAAAATAAGTGGTTGAAAATTAGTAAAAAGCACCAAGTTAACCATCCAGGATGAACTGAGAGTCGTGACATTACCCACTGACATTAAACACTACAAGTCTCAACGACTTTACACTTTGTTAAACTAAAGACGAAACTGTGTTATTTGTTGTCACGCAGCAAAAAGTGCCGTTGAAATACTGAAGTTACGTCGACGAAAACTAGTACAAGCTCTATCGCCTGTGTTTTAACGGACAAATGAACGACGTTAATGGGGTTCAGACTATGAAAATATGATTCTATACGTTAAAATGGACGAGCCATCTTGTTACGCAAAGGCAGTTACAACAAAACAACCAGCTAACGTCAACAATGAAGCTTTACGGGGCGAAGAGAGAAACTGTATTTAAGACAAAAAACAAACGTTGTCAGCTCCACATTTTTACTCGTATGACAAGTTCGAGGAAAAATCATTCAACTTGTGTAAGCACTTATCAAATTTAACGCTTTAAAACCCATAAATGATTTCAATGAACTTTCCTCAACTCACCAAAACAGTCGCCTTGTACGGGAAAGGGGGCAGGTATAAACATAATTTCCCCAGCGATCCTATTGGTCAGATATGATGTCAATCCACAGCTTCTCTCGCTCTCATTGGTCATTTAGTGCAGGCTTGTTTTCTTCATTATATGACCACAACAATAAAACTCTGGGTGGGTTAAAGTGATGAAAGCGCAAGTGACAATTACAAAACAATTAATGTGCCGTTTATTCAGCTCATTTACTTTTTTAGGAATAACCAGAATAAGCCTGTGATACTGCAAGATAGGAAGAAATATATTACCCCCATATTTAACAATGTGGCAAGATCATTTAATTTACTTAATCAACTTTAAATCATATTTAAAGAACTCAAATACATACATCTGAGCATTGAAACTCGAAGACTGAGAGCGTGTGGTGCATGTAATGCTGCAAGTGTTGACATATAGTGATGAAACAGACTTAAAACAAGGAAAAATATGTTGGTGCCCTTTGCAGCAACAGACAAATAGCCTTCAGCTAAGTTGTAATGTGCCCAGTGTAACTAACAAGTGCAACAGGTAGTTTCAGCCAAATAATCATCTGTCTATCTCTGTTTCAGAACCATTCATAATCATTGTATAAAATCCTTCATATCCTTAAGTACATTCTTCAGAGTAATTATAGAGGTTTCACTGCTTCTTATAACTAAGCGAGTGAGAGCAGCATATTCAGGTCTTTCCAGTGAAATTATGATAAAAGTACATGTCTCTGTGGACTCACTGAAGCAGCTGAACCAGTCTGTAATCTTATAGGTCTACATTTAAATGGCACAGAAACCTGTGAAAGAACACAGAGGGGAGGTTGGGTTCACTGCCCTCCAGTGGCCACAGTGAGGAGCTGCAACACTACGACATTAGACATTATCACAACGGTCAGTACTTTCAAAATAAACCAATAAAATATCTATATCTGTTTATTCATAAAAATGTATATATTTAAAATAAATAACAATAAACAAAACCTAAACTGAAGCAATTTAATTAAATTAGCAGAAATTAAAGATTGTATGCATTATCATGTTATTTTTTCTCTAGTGGTCAGAGAATACAACTACACTTTCGTAATTGATATTATTATTATTATGATGATGATAGTAATAACAATAACAATAACAATAATAATTATTAGTATAATTAGTTGTAGTAGTAGTAGTAGTAGTAGTATATCACCAAGGCTGTTAGTAAGCTTAATTCAGTTTTTTGGAAGATAAATATTTAATTCTTTAATAAACCAGTCTTACATACATACAGTATTTTGGGTTCAGGTTCAGGTCTACATTTGTTCTTCGCACCGGTTTAGTGTTTTACTTTGAAGAGAAACCGGAAGTCTTGTTCTTGTTCTGACTAGATAAAGTTAGCCGGTGCGTTTGACAACCTTCCTGACAAGAAGCGCAGCATTTTCTTCATCCAGCTCACAAACCCAAGCTCACAAATTTAGACACAGTTTTCTCCGGTCGTTGGTCTCTTCATGTAGCATAAATGCCGAAACTTTCGTCCACAGCTCCGGGTTTCGTTGCCTTCTGCGTCTGCGTTCATTGGTGAGTCATAAAAAAGACTTTTATGTTTTACTAAACTGACGCCTCTCCTTTCGATTATTATGGCAGCTGTACCGTTACATCCACCACAGACCGACCAAGTTCCGCTGTGGGTGAATTTAAAAGTTGTATTTATTCCTCTCGGCGTGGTTACGAACAGTTTTAACAGCAGATATTTACTCAGAATTGTTTATAACACTGTCGTCTGAACAACGGATTGTGAGAGTCTGTGTGGTTTTAGTAACATCCATGCTGTGTCGAGTTTGGCTTCCTGCTTTTCAAAACTTCCTCTGTTAGTGTGAAAGAAGCATAAACTCCATTAATCCTGTGATTTACGACACTTCAGACAATGAAGACAATGACTGTGTTATAACACCTTTAATATGGATGTCATTGGCATAAATGATATATTTTACGTTATTATTGTTTTAGAAGGCAGACAACGACAAAAAAGAGCAATATGCAACATGACAGTCTTAGATCACATTTTAACTCAATCTTCATATTGTATTTTAATGTCTAACATGTCTGACAAAACTCCACTGGGCTTTAATATGAACTTTATAGAAAGCAGTGTAGTTTCAGTTGTTACTTAATGCTTACAGTAAAACTAGAGCTAAGCATAGCTACTATCACAATCCATATCTTAATTTTGACACTGTTGCTCACAGTTTCAAAATTAGCCATCTGCTAACTGCAGTTTCTAGCTGACACAATATCCATATATCAGTGGATTCATTGAATAGTCCACTGACTGTGAATTGATCAAGTATTTTCATAATTGTATGTGTCATTTTAAAGCAAAAATGTCATTGTCTGGTTTCAGTTTCTCAGTATGTGAGGGTTTGCTGCTGTTCTTTTCTTTTCTTTTCTTTTCTTTTCTTTTCTTTTCTTTTCTTTTCTTTTCTTTTCTTTTCTGTAAACTGAATATATTTGGGATTTGAGCTGTTGTCCAGACAAAACAACACAGTGGACACAGGGAAATTATGATGGGTATGATTTAAAAATTAATTGATTAATAGAGAACATCAGCCTGTTTATCAATAATGAAATCAGCCCTTACTTACAGCCTAGTGGTATATTGGACCGCAGAAACAAGATGAAATGCAAATTTCTCTGGACTGGAAGTGCTAATAATAAAATGAATAGAGTTTATTTATGTTGGCCCAGAAGGTTAGAGGTCATAGATCAGTGTTTTCTGATAGATATGGGGCTTGTATTACAACATTACATTTCTGGCTGATTTTCTTTACTCTTCTCTACTTAATCTGCCCTGTAGAGGTACATGAAATACAGCATCACAGATTAATGATAAACAGCATAAGAGTATCTCCTTTCGTTTCTCTGTTTGTGTCTGTCCTCACCCTCAAGCTAGGCGATGGATGGGCAGCAGATCCAGGTGAGCGACGAAGAGCCTAAAGTCCTGAGAGAAGACACCCGGAGGAGGAGGAGAAAGAAAGCCATCACGTCGTCCTCTGGCACGTCCATGGATCAGATAACTGTGGAGTTCGTGCTGCCCACTGTGGCACGGGGCGGAAGCGGCCCTGACAGTCTGCTGCTGGAGGTCGCTGGAAACTGGACCGTAGAACAGGTCGCCTAATTTACTACTGATGATTATGGATGTGACAGTGGCGGTCATGGTGGCTTTAAACATTCTTTACATTGATCTAGTTTCATTAGTTGACGTGCATATTTCTTGACTCCCAGGTGAAAGCTCAGGTGTGGCTGAAGGCGGTGACTTCAAACCTCTGCCCTGAGTTCTACCAGCGGTTTTCCCCTGACCACTGCATCCTGCTCTACCAGAAGAAAGGCAACGTGTGTGAGATCTACGACAAGCACCAGGTCTTCCAGACGCTCGACTGCATTCGCTACTGGAGAGGTACCGACCAATCACAAGTGTTTTTACTTCCTGATGAGGGTCAGGAACTGAGTTACTGTGAACATGTCTGTTGTTGTCTTAAAAGCCCTGAAGAAGGACGTGGGGCGGATCCAGCTGGTGCCCCGCCCCCAGCCCTCGGACGAGTCCCTGCAGTATCAGCGCTACCTGAACTACCTGATTGGCTATGATGTGACGGATGTCAGCAATGTGCACGACGATGAGCTGGAGTTCACCCGCAGGAAGCTGCTGACGCCGCGACGCATCGAGCTGTCTGACCGTGACCCTAAACTCTACTCCATGGACCCATGGGTGACCCGCAAGCTGCTGCCTGAGCACCTGCTGAGCAAGGTACATGTGCATGATTGTTTTATATGTATGACCAATTCATGCATTACCTGTTGCATATAGAGCAGATGTTCCCAAATGTTTTCAGTCATGGCACAGACTCTTTGTCTCTGTGTAGAATTAATTTGCAGGATTGTCTGAAATGAATACAAAGCTGGAATATGTATCTGTATCCATTTAATTATCTATTTGGAAAACACATTTCCCTCCGTGACACAAACTTCAATAATTCAGGTACTTATTGAATGATTGCTTCTTTATTCAGTCTTTTCCTCGATTTTAATTCTGCACCGTTGGTTTGTTCCACCTCTCAGGTCAGTAACAGTCACATCCTGGTGGTGATCCACATCACCACGGCCAGCCAGACCATCAAGGTCTCCATCGACGACACACCGGCACAGGTAGACAAATGTGGTGAAGGACTACTTATGTGTTTACCACTTTCTGCTCTATTACTGCGCTGTTTTTTTTTTTTTCTACTGTTGTCAGACTATTTTCCTTCTTGTTTAGGTGCTGGCAAGTTTTTTCGCCAAGACAGCAAATAAAAGACTGTTGCTGGGCATCCCTGAAAACATGTGTGAGGCGGACTATGTGCTGCGTGTGTGTGGCAGGTACGTCACCTGAGCTACTTAAACATGTAGCCAATATAATCAAGTTTGCATTGAAAGTGAAAGAGTAATTGATTAGATTATGTTATAGCAGATAAGCATGATTATTTTGTGTTTTAAATTTTGAAAGTAACCGTTTCAGTATCTGTTCACACAGGGAGGAGTACCTGTACGGGGATAAACCACTGCAGAACTTCAACTGGATCCGTCAGTGTCTGAAAAATGGCGAAGAGATCCACCTGGTTCTGGAGATGCCGCCTGATCCCGATCAGGATCTGGTCCAGAGGGAGGACTGGGCCCAAGTGGATGACTGCACCGGAGTAGCAGGTAACAACTTGAACTGAGGCAGATAGACTGTTATTTATATCTGATACATCTATTCAGTTTTAGTGGCCAACTTCCTAACTTATTCTCCTAACATTTCCTCATCAGGTACCCATGAGCAGTTGACCATCGACGAGAAAGACCATGAACGAGTGTTCACCATCTCCATGTGGGACTGTAACAGGAAGTTCAGAGTGAAGGTGCTGGGTATCGACATCCCATCCCTGCCCAAAATCCCAGAGTTCATTGTCTTCATAGAGGCCAGCATCTTCCACGGCCAGCAGCTTTTAGCCCAGGTCAGGAAAACATACGAGGATGTTGATTAAACTTACGAGCATGCAAAAGATTATAAGCATGGTGGCTGTGATATACGTTGATTTAGGGGCTGCTAAAATTGTTAAGCTTGTTGTTAAGCATGACAAATACAGTACAATGTGTTTCCTTTGACTACTTCACCATAAAAACAACCCAGTGTTTCTCCAGTTGAGCGCTCTTAATGTGAACTAGCAGCAGTAGGAAATACAGCTGTGATACAGCTGCAGGAGAGATAAGTAAAAGGTGAGGCCGATATCAGTGTGATAAATTAAAAACAGTAACACTGGATTACATGTCACATGCTGTGATATCATATCTTTCATGTGTGAAGGTAATTTGAATCTTGCAGGTGGACTGCACCACTGACAATGTAAACAACCATATAAAAAAGGAAATTACAGAATAATAAACTGCAAGAAAAAGCTTTTATAAGCACAACACAAAGTTACAATGTGCTTTAGATCAAAATGGAATAAAGTGGATTCAAATACCAGTAATATATAACATAAAAACAATAACATAAGTAAGACATGTTGGAAATAAAACAATGTGCAAGCAGTTTTTTGGAAGTGATTGAAAAGATGCAAGTTTCAGATCTTTGGGCAGAGAGTTCCAGAGCTGGATATTGCTGAAAAATGCCATAAATGAGCATAAATTGTAGGGTTAAGCAGGGGTTTGATTCTATGAAAATCTAAAAACAAGATTAAGCAAATCATATCTGAGAACCACGACTGTCTTAGCTCTATGTTGGTTTTATAACCAACAATTTCATGAAGTGGTTTTTTTTAAAGAGCAATGTCTGGACGTCAGGGACAACAGAGTTTAACACTGAATTTATTCTTGTAGGAGAGGACGACCTCCAAAACCTTCAACGAGGAAGTGCTGTGGAACTGCTGGTTGGAGTTCAACATTAAGATCAAGGACCTGCCGAAGGGGGCGCGCCTCAACCTCCAGGTAAACAGACATTTCATCCAAAGCTGTTGTAAAGATTAGAAGAGGAAGGAAACAAGGAACAAGGAAACACGTTTCTGTCAGGGAGATCGATGAATGAATCTGTGCTCTGTCATACAATACAGGTGGTTTGTGGGAAGCAACCTCTGACACCAAACTCCAAGGGAAGCTCCTACCAGGACAATACGGGAGGAGGGGGCAGCCATGATGGTAAGGTCTTCTCACAGGTAGCAGCATCATGTTGACAGTTTACGGAATGAGGCTTATCTCTGTCTGTTCGTCCTCGTCTCAGGAAAGACCAAGAGTCGTCTCCTGTACTACGTCAACCTGCTGCTGATCGACCACCGCTCTCTGCTCCGCCAGGGCGAGTTCATCCTCCACATGTGGAAAATGCCAGAGAAGAGTGAGGAAAGCAGCAGCAGCATCAACGCAGACAAGCTCACCTCGGCAACCAACCCAGACAAGGCCTCCTCCATGGCCATTGCCATTTTACTGGACAAGTACTGTTACCCCGTGGTGCTGCCCAAGAGCCGGGACGTGAGCCGGGACGCGGTGGCTGGGGGTGAGGAAGCCGAGGCAGGGGAGCGGGGTCAGAGAGAGATGCCAAACCATCTGAAGAAACAGTTTGGGGCTATCGTGGCGACCGACCCCCTGCATCCACTCAGTCCTGAGGACAAAGAGCTGCTCTGGCACTTCAGACAAGAGTGTATGCGCGACCCCAGGTACTTGTTTTATTGTAATCCCAAGAAAATGGAGTACAAATGTTATATGATTATTGTCTTTTCCTCTTATTGCTCAATAATATCTACCTGTCCTCAGGGCTTACCCAAAGCTGCTGGGCTCAGTCAGGTGGGGGAAACAGGAAGATGTTTTGGCAACACATCGTCTGTTGGAGCGCAGCAGTGCCTGGGACAGCAGGTAAAAGGGTTTTCACACTGTCACTGTATGTACGTACGTGTCCTCAGTGGACTCGCTGTTTCATCTCTGGCGGTCCTGTTGTTCCCGTTCAGTGGTCTGGATGTCGGTCTGGCCATGCAGCTGCTGGACTGTCACTACTCTGATGCTCAGGTTCGCTCCATGGCTGTCAGGAAGCTGGAGACTCTGGAGGATGATGATGTGCTCAGGTATCTCCTGCAGCTTGTACAGGTGAGTCTATTCTGTTCATTTACATGTACATTTACCCAAGTATTGTACTTAAATTCAGCTTAAAGTGAGGTTTTGTGTTTTACTTGAGTATTTCTATGTTCTGCTTCATACTTCTTCTTCATTTCAGGGACAAACTTTACACTTTTTACTCCACAGTAACTCAGATTGAACTACCCAACAGTAAATACAGTAAAATAAATTCTTTGACAAAATTTCTTCGCTGAAATTAGTTTGACCATGATAAGCTACAGCATTAAAATGTTCTGTATCTTTTGATGTGTCAGTCATCATTACTGTAACACTGTGACAAGGAGCCGCTTTGCATAATGAATACTTTTAGTTTAAAGGAAGAGAAAAGGAAATACAGTTATTCACTTTCTTGCAGAGTCACATATCTGTAGCTAAATATAAAGCTACTGTGAGCAGCCAGCAGCCAGTTAGTGTAACATAAAACCTGCAAACACAGAGAAATGGCAAGCCTAGCTCTGTCCATTGGTACCAGTTTCCAGGCAACCAGCAGCAACTCCAGAAAGTTACTGGTCCCAGTGCAGAAATAACATGTCACAACTTTAAGTAAAATGGTGAATTTATGTTGATTTTGACTCTTTGCACGGCTGAAACAAACAACATATAACATAATAATTGTTCAGTTTTAAGTGAATTGTTTTTTCCATTAGACAGAAGCCAGGCTAGCTGTTTCCAGTCCTTGTGCTAAGCTAACTGGCTGCTTGTGGTACCTTCATATTTAACGTACAGATATAAGATTGGTAAATATCTTCTCATCTGCAGATTTCACAGAAAATCTAACTATTTCTTTAATTATATTTTGCTGCTGATACTTTTGTACATTTACTTAAGTGAAATTATGACAGCAGGACTGGAGCATTTTTACAATGAGCCACTGCTACTTTCACTTAAAGCTCCATATTTTACACTTTGTTTTATTTGAAGTGTTGATCCATAAGAAGATATATTTGTGGTTTTAAGAATCAAAAACCATCTTAATGTAGTTTTAAATCTCCTCTCTAAGGCTTCTCTCTGGAGCTCAAGTAACAACAGGTTGGTGAGCCAATCAGAAGACAGGATGCTCTGAGCCTCTCTTTTGATTGGCTGACTGTTTTCTGAGTAATTGAATAAAAATAAAGCAGATTTCAGGTAAACACTCAGAGAAACCAAATCCAAGCAAAGTTGGATGGTGGGTCAAGGTGGGAGGGGCTTGGGGCATTGCTGAGAGCGGTTACTGCTTTGTTGTGACATCACAAAGATACATAATTCCTGACAGCTGGTTTTCAGGCTCAGTTTCTGAATACAGGCTGTGTGCATTTCTCTGTGGACTGAGCACTTTGATACTTTCACAGTATTAATATGGAACCTAGACCTGCTTTATAATCAAACAACACATGGACATCTACCTTTTTTACTATATGGGACCTTTAAATAAAATAAAATTTCTTCCTCCACTAACCAAGGGTTGAATAGCAACATACTTATTACTGTGGCTAAATTATATTTTGTATGACTACTGGGTCTACTGAGCACATCATCTGCTTTTACAGGTTAACCTTCTGATTGTCACAGCTCACAGTAGTTACAGTAATTACACCATATTAATTTAATTTTTTTTTTTTTTTTACATCACATGCCGATTACTTAGAAATCTAACACACATCACGTCCGTCTTACAGCACAGAAAAAAATCTGCTCCGCCTGAGTCACAGTTACATTATTTCACAAGCTCGTGGAAAGAGGCAGTTCAGCACATACATGCTGCATGATTTTCTCCTGATGTGTTTCCATATTTGACTCTGTGGTCAGCTTTGCATGAGCAGTTTGAATTATCAGCTGAGGCCAACAAAGAGTCTTTTGGCCTGATAGGAAAATGACTCTTTCCTCCATATACTGCTATCATTGTATCCTATGGACCTCAGTGATGTGCAGGGTATAATCCCAGTGTACTTTCCAAGATGTGAGTGTTACAGAGAAATGGCTCTGTGTTTCATATACTGACGTAGATCCTTGAATGAGTTTTAACTTGCTTTGCAAAGGTGTTGCACTGACTCACAACAGGTATTCTAGGTGTAATCCTCTATTTGTTCTAGTTTAAATGCAGGATTGTAATTATAAAATGAAATGATGAAATTATACCAAGAATAATTAGTCTTTGCCTCCCTAATCTTCAAAATAAAAGCATTGTGTTACAGAGAGAGTCAAAATTATGGCAGAATGATTTTGTTTTTTTCAGATCACATTCTTGTACTATTCAGGAAACAGTGAACAGTTTGGATTTGTCATATTAACCCAAACTGCCCAGCTGTTGTTTGTTACCTCTGTTTCTACTGTCTGTCTGTCTGTCTGTCTGTCTGTCTGTCTGTCTGTCTGTCTGTCTGTCTCAGTTAACATCTGAATTGTGCAGTCCTGTGTGGGCACAACAAGCTCAGTGTTTTCACTGCACTTCACTCCCTTACTGCCCCATCACACTGTGACCTCAGTAACCTCAGTCTGCTGAAGGCAGCCTGTGAAATTCTTGTTGTGTCCATTCAGTGTTTTCACCAAAATGCATTTTGTGTGTCTCTGAGGCCTTAAAACATTTTGCTTACACTTCAGAAAAAACCTCGACTTGATCAAAAACGGAGTCTTTAATCTCAGAATTCACGCAAAATCAAAATCAAAAAAGCCAAATCTTTGTTGCAGCTTTTCTTTATAGATAACCAGCTTATTTTCAACATCATGTGTTTTGATGTGTATCCAGAGGGTTTTTTGGACGGGTTTCACAGTAATGTAATGTGTGTGTTTGCATGTATGTGCACTGAAACTTGGAAATCCTCTTTACATTTGAATATGTTTTAATCAGAGGTGTGTGTGTGTGTGTGTGTGTGTGTGTGTGTGTGTGTTTGTGTGTCTCTTGCAGGCGGTCAAGTTTGAGCCCTACCATGACAGTGCCCTTGTGAGGTTCCTGCTGAAGAGAGCTCTGAGGGTAAACAGGACCAACATCTGTCTGTTTTTACATTGTCACACACTGTTTATAGTGTGTGTGTGTGTGTGTGTGTGTGTGTGTGTGCGCGCGCGCACGCGTGTATTTTTATATTTGTTTGTTCCCATTCATTTGTTTTGTCTGTGTCTTCCTGTTTTGTCTGTGTCTTCTGGATTGATGTCATCATGATAAACTCTCTCTCTCTCTCTCTCTCTCTCTCTCTCTCTCTCTCTCCACAGAGTAAGCGTATTGGTCATTTTCTCTTCTGGTTCCTGCGCAGTGAGATCGCCCAGTCCATGCACTACCAGCAGAGGTATGCTGTGCTGCTGGAGGCCTACCTGAGAGGCTGTGGTGAGGCCATGCTGCAGGACTACAGGAAACAGGTGAGTAACAAAGCGCAGCTCCTTACACAATATGGTGTGTTCAGTGTTGTATAATTTTGTCTTTGTCTCTTATTATGACAATAAGTGATGAGGAAAGAAGAAGAAAAAAAAATCTCAGACTACTCTGTCCTAAAACCATGTTGTCAGCTGGATGTAAACAAAAGAGTTTTCTACGTGTGTGTGTGTGTGTGTGTGTGTGTGTGTGGGTGTGTGTGTGTGTGTGTGTGGGTGTGTGTGTGTGTGTGTGTGGGTGTGTGTGTGTGTGTGTGTGGGTGTGTGTGTGTGTGTGTGTGGGTGTGTGTGTGTGTGTGTGTGGGTGTGTGTGTGTGTGTGTGTGGGTGTGTGTGTGTGTGTGTGTGGGTGTGTGTGTGTGTGTGTGTGTGTGTGTGTGTAGTCAGTTCTAGTTTCCTCCAGGTCAGGCCCAGTCCCCAAATAGTCTGACTAGGAGCTCTATGCTAATTCACAAAGTTTAACACAATCTCAGCAAAAACTCAACAACCATACACATCACAGTTCCACAAGAGGCAGAAACAAACTCATTAGATTGTTGAATGATGGGTAACTGATGGAGTAAGAACAGAGGCAGACGCTGGTCACTCATTCCCTGCCAGCTCTGTGGGGTTTCACACTAAGAGCAGAGGGAGTCATGTGACCAGTCGTCACCTTGCAGTCTGATCTGCAGCCTGTTTGCAAATGTGTTAAAAAGCTTCTTCAGCACCTGACAAGATGAAGTGATGCTCTGCAGGTGGAGATGACTGAGGCTCTGCAGAAAGTCACTCGTGAGGTGAAGGCCATGTCGGCTGACAAATATGACGTCACTGCACAAGGTAAGGAACTCGACTTTCAGAACGTCCTACAGCTCTGTGCATTGAGCAAGGCACCGACAATAACCTGTGCGGCTCTGACAGAAAAACAAACTGCATTTTATCTTTCGATCCTTTGGGGAGTTTTAATTAATTAGTTTTTAATCTGTCAGTGATTCAAAGAAATTCAAGAAGTGAAACTAAAACTCTGTGTGTGTGTGTGTGTGTGTGTGTGTGTGTGTGTGTGTGTGTGTGTGTGTGTGTGTGTGTGTGTGTGTCTCAGTGGTATTTCAGTTGCGTCAGAAGCTGGAGACTCTGCAGTTGTCAGGTCTGCCAGAGAGTTTCAGAGTCCCTTATGATCCCGGGCTGCGAGCTGGAGCCCTGTTGGTGAGAGTCAAACACACAGACTGACAGCGGAAAATGTCATATCCTATATCACTAACACATTTAAGTTATAAAACGCACCACTAAAACTTTTTGTGGTGCGTGTTTGAAACAATGGCACAGACACCTTCCTCGCCTCCTGATTGGGTCTTAGCAGCCTCGACTTCCAGTGGTGAATGCACCACCACACAGGCGTTACAGACCCTGTTGTTTTGGCTAGCAGCTGTTGTTCAGTTAAATTCCATAATTTTAATGCTACAGCTGTCTTCGCTGTTTCTCGTTCGTAGTGTTTTCTGTTACTAACCAACTGCAGAGTAGACAATCTGCTTCCTGTTCACACCAGCACGAGCTTGCCCAGTGAATGGTCATGTGATATGCAGATTATTTCTGATTCGACAGCCAAAACGCTGTTTTAAAATGAAAACATAGTCGTGTGGAAACAGCCTTTCACTCTGGTCTCTGCATGCTTCACTGATTCATTTCAATCTCTTTGAATCAGATATAAAACCACTTTTATGAAAGATATAAACACAGAAGTGAAAACAAGTGACCTCAAAGTGCCGTAGCTTAGATGAGTACACAGAGGTCACATCAGGACAGTCCGAATACCCTGAAGCACATCGCTGAATTTCAGAATATATGTTTGTGCGTACAGATCGAGCAGTGTAAAGTGATGGCGTCTAAGAAGAAGCCATTGTGGCTGCAGTTTAAAAGGGCCGACCCCACCACTCTGTCCAAAGACCCCATCGGCATCATCTTCAAAGATGGCGACGACCTCAGGCAGGATATGCTCATCCTCCAGGTGAGTGGCGACTTAGTCTCCAACACAGAAGTCAGCAAATCATTGAGGAAAGACTCTTGGAAAGACTTTTCGTTTCGTCTTGTGTCCCTTCAGATCCTGCTCATCATGGAGTCAATCTGGGAGACTGAGTCCCTGGATCTCTGTCTGTTACCGTACGGCTGCATCTCCACTGGAAACAGAATAGGTCAGTTACACAACCGGAAAACAAATACATCCAAATACCGCAGCCGTTCTGTGATAGTTAACCCCCCCCCCCCCGTCTCTCCTTCTTTATCTGTGTAGGTATGATTGAGATTGTGAAGGATGCCACCACCATCGCTAACATCCAGCAGAGCGTTGTTGGAAGCACTGGCGCTTTTAAAGATGAAATCCTGTATCAGTGGCTGCGGGACAAGTGTGTCAGCGAGGACAAGGTACAGCAGGCTCAGTCTGATTACAGCCAGCTGACCTGATAACATGCAAATAACTTCAGTTGATTAAATGGAGAGAACATTAAGATTCTTTGAGCAGAAACACAAACACCAATTCCCCAATGCGTCAACCATCCAGGTATAAAACGATCTGTAACTTACTGAGATGATAACCAACGCTGTGGTTGAGGTGTAACCGTAGGCAGAACCTGGTTTTCTCAGTTTTGTTTTCAGTACAGTGCTAAAAAAAAGACATGAAAAACATTACCTTTAATTTATTATGAATTTAACTTATCTAACTAAACATAAAGGTGTAATTGTAAACTTGTAAACTGGTAACCCTGTGGCAAACTGGCCATCATTTCAAATTGGAAAAAACAATACCTAAGTCATCAATGTATTATTGATATCGCTGTGATCTATTAACAAGACTTCAGTGCTTCAGATGGTTATCAAATAAATAAATAGATAATTTAATAATAAGATAATATATATATAAAATATATAAATGATAAGATCCATTAAAGTGCAGCATGTAGAAAATTATTGATAGTTTCACTCTATTTGCATGTTTTCATTTTAAGAAATGAACCTTTATTCTGTGTGAGGGTAACAGTGTCACAGTGAGAGACAAGACACTAAGTGCGCCCTCTACCCAGGGGCACCCCCAGGAAAAGCAGATACACTGGCACTAACGATGTCTCCTGCAGTTGAAAAAACCCTCTCGCTCGCTTGTATGACTTTATTCGCATAGAATGACCATCAGAACACAAAACTTTATTCACGTGACGTGCACGGTTAAAACTAGATTATATTCATTTGAATCACAACGTGAACCGAACCAGACATCCTGTACTGAGCGGCACGGCACAAATACGTGAAGCTTTAACGCCCCTGCTCCGTGGTTATCATCTCAATCAGTAGTAAACCCGTGTGCAGAAGTGTTAATTACACAGTGATGTATCATGGGCTCAGTGTGCTGATGGAGCAGTTTTTCTCTCCAGCTGTTTCTCAGTTTATCAGATGTTAGAGGAAGTAGCAGCGCAGCAGACAGGAAGGAAGCAACCCGCAGAGTTTTTCCTGTCACCATAACAACACACACAGACACAGACACAGACACACGCACACACACGCACGCACGCGCACACACACACACACACACACACACACACACTACTTTTAGCCACAACACCTGCACCCCCGATGTCTATTTCTGCTTTTTTTTTTTTTATATATATAAATGTGCGTGTTCTGTTTTGCAACACTTCATCTTTTTGCTGCAGTTAAGGAAAGGAAAGCAACTCTGTGTTCTGTCAGATCTCTTTATGTTCTGGCCCAGTCATTGCTGTGGGAGGGAATGATTGGCTGAGTGGGAACTGACTAGAAAGTGTTTGTCTCTGTTTAGTTCCAGCAGGCTGTGGAGAGGTTCCTGTATTCCTGTGGTGGCTACTGTGTGGCTACATACGTCCTGGGAATTGGGGATCGCCATAACGACAACATCATGATCACTGAATCTGGTAATGATGGTGTTCGTCTGTGTGAGGGACTTGCTTGAAAATCTCTTGTTACATCTTGTTAAACAGGTTCTTATTAACTAAGTGTTAAGATACCTATAAATAATCTGAACAGAAATTTTAATCTCTATTAATACTGAACAAAATTCCTCCCCAGTGTGTTTCAACCACAATTTTGAAAAGAAAGAGTTCAATTAAAATGTCATGTTCTATTTTCTATGTTTGAAGTTTGTTTTGTAGTTACTTAAACTCATCACTCATAATAATGATGATAAGCTGTATTTATATAGCACCTTTCAAAACACAGTTAACAAGGTGCTTTACAACACAAGATAAATTTGAAGACGAACAATAAAAAATGAATGATAAAAATAAACAGGTTAAAAACAGTTTTACAATGTTGGGGAGGAGATATAAGAGAAAAAGTGCAACAGTGAGGTAAAGTAAAAATGAGATAGATCAGTGTAAAATGATTAAAATAATCAATTAAATAAGAATCAGGAGAAAGACTTCATGCAATATAGATTTAAGAGGTTAGAAGTAAATTTAGACCTCAAGCTCTGAGAAAGCACACCTGTAAAAATGTGTCTTTAAGAGGGATTTAAAAAAGGGTAAGGAGCTCGTTCCAAAGACCCTTGGTCTTTAGCTGAGATTGTGTTACGGCTAACAGAGCGTTGGTTAATGACCTCAGGTCGCGGTTGGGCACATATGGTGCCAGGAGACACTTAAAAGTCAGTTCTAAAATTTAAAAATGAAGTACTCTTTTTTTTTGGTTTTGGTGTGGAGTCTGGTTTGTTCAGGCTGAACTGGTTATCAAAGGTGACACCAAGAGTTTTACAGCTATCTGCTATGTTTTAAGACAGAGAGCCTAGGTGCTTTGAGGTGTAAGCATTAGCTGTGTTAGGTACAATAGTAATTACCTCAGTCTTTTCAATGTTTAGCTGCAGGAAGTTCTGGGTCTTATATGTTCTGAATATAATACAGAAATGCAACCCGGAGCTCAGGAAACACAAAAGAACAAATCTCCTTTTGTTTCTGCAGGGAATCTCTTCCACATCGACTTCGGTCACATCCTGGGGAATTACAAGAGCTTCATGGGAATCAGTAAGGAGTGGGTTCCCTTCGTGCTCACACCAGACTTCCTGTACGTCATGGGGACATCAGGAAAGAAAAGCAGCCCTCACTTCCAGAAATTCCAGGTGCAGAAAACAGTGTTTTTTTTTCAAAATACATGCAGGTCATCTACACATGCACAAACACCCATCCACTATTCTATAACTAGGCCTGAAAGGTCACTAAAAGTCATCTGAGGTGAACTTTAACATGGCAGCCAGAGGATGTATTACATCAGCCCAGATGTGTCATAGCTCCATATCTTTTGCATGTCTGTATGTACAGTATGTTTGTATTATACACCCTTTATCTCTGTCTCAGGACGTGTGTGTGAAGGCTTACCTCGCCCTTCGGCACCACACCAACCTGCTCATCATCCTCTTCTCCATGATGCTGATGACCGGTACGACCTCCTTCCTAACAAACGCTTTGATAAAGATTTATACTTTATACTATTTATACAAAACTAGTGTCTTCCCATGGTTTCTTTTAATGGAATCTGGATCATTAGGAGTTGTAGCTTAAAATATTTAGTTTTTAGATGAAGATTTTTATCTGAAACTATTTCATTTGTAGCCAGTGATTTCTTCAGTGATATTCGTTCTTCACAGGAATGCCCCAGCTGACTAGTAAGGAGGATATTGAGTACATCCGCGAGGCGTTGACAGTCGGCCGCAGCGAGGACGACGCCCAACGCCACCTGCTGGACCAGATCGAGATCTGCAGGGAGAAAGGCTGGATGGTTCAGATCAACTGGTTTGTTCACCTGGTGCTGGGGATCAAGCAGGGTGTGGAGAAACGGTCCACTTAGGACAAGTTAGGAAAGATGCAGATTTTTTTGTTCCTCTTCCCATTTTGTAATTTAGACTGTGAGTCATCTCAGATATGAAGAATAATAAGAACAGATGAATTATTAAGACATGGGATGTTACATGAGTGTAAATCCTGTGGAGCAACAAAATCATCAAAACCAATAATTTAAAAAGAGACTGGAACTTTTAAACAAAACTACGTCAGGTATGCAAAGTGAATAAAGATAATGAAGATTTTAACCTGTGACACTGCACACATGCTGAAGTTAATTAACTTAATTATATTTAATGATGAAGATAACCTTCAAAGTTTTTTTTTTCTTTTACCTCAATCACCATCAGTATGGCAATCAAAAGTCTTTTCCTGCTGTCAGAGTTACCTCTACTCTTGTTTCCAAAATCTTACAAAATCTCCACAATGAGTGTGAAGTTTGAAGTACAGGTTGAGTGATTTGAAGACTGTTCTATGTGACAGCAGAAACTGAGCATAGACAACAGTTAAAGGTCCCATATGTTGCATATTTCCAATGTTTTATTTGAAGTGTTGATCCATAAGAAGATACTGTATAAATGGGGTTTTAAGAACCAAAAACCATCTCAGTGTAGTTTTACATCTCCTCTTTCAGGCTTCTCTCTGGAGCTCTGGTAACAACAGGTCAATGAGCCAATCAGGAGAGAGGATCTGATTCTCTCCTCTGATTGGCTGACTGTTTTCAGAGTGGTCAAATAAAAATTTAGCAGATTTCAGGTAAACAATCAGAGAAACAAAATCCTGCAAGGTTGGATGGTGGGTCCGGGTGTGCGGGGCTTGGGGCATGGCTGGGAGTGGTGACTGCTTTGTTATGACATCACAAAGTTCCAGAAGTCCTGAAGGCTGGTCTTAAGGCTCAGTTTCTGAATACAGGCTGTGTGCATTTCTCTGTGGACTGAGGCTTTGATACTTTCACAGTATTAATATAGAACCTAGACCTGATCTATAATCAAAAAGACATGGACATTTACTTTTATACTCTATGGGACCTTTAATGATAGATTTTGGTTAATGAGAATAGAAAGTTTACATGAGTGAGGAATTTGATCTCTTACATCTCTTATTTTAATCATTTTCACTTGGACTACTTCCTGTTTCTACATTTCTCATTCAAAGTCCTTTTCTCCTAAGGAAACATTTTTCTCTCTCTTGTCCTTGCATCATTCACATTTTAAAACCTGGTAGATGTCGCACTGTTAATTGAACATTTACTGAAGTTAAGCTGCACTGTCTCAAGAAGAACTGTTAGACTAAAGATTGAATGATCAGCCTGTTAAATAGTTAGCGAAATGTTTAACATTTAGAGTATTTGGTTATAGTGAATAATATGCAAGGTTCTCCTGGTCAGAGGTTGACGCTAATAGATTACTGATGAATATTAAAGCATTTTCTTATTTATGCAGCAACAATCTTTTTATTTGCACTGACTGTTTAGGAATACTTTTTACATGTCTTTACAAACTTGGTGCTCATGAAATTTTAATTCCAAAAATGTTTTATTAAAAGTCAAATTTAATGATGCTGACAGTTGCACATCTGTGCCATTGTAATGCTACAGTGGCCTGTAACATACAGCACATGCTGGTCAGTGCTGTCATCACTTCTTATTGGATAATGGTGTATAGCTCTTAATCTGTGTTTTTATTACAGATCGTATTCTCAAAGTAAACATCCTTATAAGCCATTTTAGACTGAAGACAAAAAGTCGTTTGTCAACATGCATCAAGACAAACGTATGAAATCACAGCAGGTAAGAGTAAACGTAACAACCCACTGACCATCACAGATTATGGATAAATATTCAGAGGATTTCATGAGCATAAGTTGGAGATAAAAGCTACAACAAGTGTCAGCAGTTGCAGAATCAGTATTTTTTTAAAGCTCTCATAAGAATGTGTTGGACAGATCTAAAGCTTTTTATGTTTTTTTTTTTTTTTGTAATAAAACCTTTTGTGCCTGTAAATACTTTCAATCATTGATTCCTGAAAGTCAAATAATTGGAACATGTCAGATTTTATGTCTATTTGTATCAGAAAACTAAAGTTATGTGCAATAAATACTCTGTGTTTTTTTTCTTCTTTAACAGGTCAGAGTTAGTGATTATTTGCATTTCATAGTTCAGCTCAGAAATAATTTACATTCCTCTCTTCCGTTCTGTATCTTCCATCTTTACATGAGGATTAATCTGAGCCAGACATAAAAATATCAGCTGTAATAATTAACTTTGACCACAAGGTGGTGCAACACCACAACCCTTTTCCCGTAGTTGTCTCATATCAAGCAATTGCATCCTTTCCTCTTCCGACCTCCTCCTCCTCTTTGTCCTTCCCTCCTTTCTTTTTCTTTTCTTCTCAGTCAGATTTAAACTCGCTCTCATCACAAAGTGGGTGTAAGGTGTAAGTCTCTTTCATGTCAGTGTGTTTTATGGCTGTAAATTGTGATATATGTTTTGATATACAGGGTGTTTAGGGTCTAAATGGATTAGATGTATAAACCTCTTCATTCCCCGCTGCTCTGAGGCCTCTTTCTATACTGTTACTCTGGTAATTCCTTCCTTCTTCCAGGAGCCTGTGAACTGTGGAGAAGCTTATCTGACAAGTGATGAGGGCGTTTGTTGAATAGAGCGAGAAGAAAATGGATTGCGGAGCCTTTTCTCCTCTTGTTTACAATTAGCTTAACATTTATATCATATCATACCATAACCTTCCTGTATGATTTTTTTTTCCTTTATGTGCTGCATCTCTGAATGTAAAAAAAATTATGCATCTTCAGATTTCCTGAAAAATGAAGAGATGCAGCTTTATTTTCAAACGAGCAATAAGTCCGTTTAGGTAATTACATGGTTTGCTTCCATTCTTTTTCAAGCTCTATGGGAAAGAAATAAAAAAAAAGGGAAAAAAATCATAAAAACAGATTAAAGGTCCCATATATTACACTTTTTCAATGTTATATTTGAAGTGTTGATCAATAAGAAGATATATTTGTGGTTTAAAGAACCAAAAACCATTTGAATGTAGTTTTACATCTCCTCTCTCAGGCTTCTCTCTGGAGCTCTAGTAACAACAGGTCGGTGAGCCAATCAGAAGAGAGGATGCTCTGAGCCTCTCTTCTCTCTCTCTCTCCCTGCATTTCCTGTCTGTCTCCATTACCCTATTCAATAAAGGGATAAAATGGCCAAAAAATAACTTAAAAAATTAACGAAAGATTAAAGGTAAACACTTGCAAGGGCGTGACTGAGAGCAGCCACAACCGCTGCTTTGTTGTGACATCACAAAGTTACAAGTCCTCACGGCTGGTTTTAAGGCTCAGTTTTTGAACACAGGCTGTGTGCATTTCTCTGTGGACTGAGGCTTTGATACTTTCACAGTATTAATATAGAACCTAGACCTGCTTTATAATCAAACAACACATGGACATCTGCCTTTATACTATGTGGGACGTTTGACAAAATTATAGACTGAATTACATTTAGTCAGAAACACAGAAAATCTAGAGTCAATATGAGTGGGGAATATTTATTTCCAATAAAATCAATAATATTCAGTGGCATCAGTTCAAAGCAATCCCTCTGTCTTCTTCTTTCCACTCTCTCTGCAGACAGACCATCTTGTGATGGGATCACAGCAACATGTTGATGTTCTGACCCATGAGTACTCAGTTGTCATTACTGCATTATTACTACATTATTACATGAGTACACAGTATGGTTGTGACACGCAGACAGACATACAAACACCTGCCAAAGTACCCAAAACCACCTGTGGTAGTTCCTGCTGCAGTGTGTATCTCCCAGACCACATTACACACACACATACACACACACACACACACACACACACACACACACACACACACACACACACACACTTATTCTTGGTCACCTCTCTGACCGAGGCCTTCCTCAGTTTGGCTGGACTGTTCTCCTGAGACACAGAGTTCCTTGGACTTAATGTTTTGGTTTTGTCCTGACATGCAGTGTATATCCCATCGATTCAGTTTCCCACACTTTGATTTTTAATAAACCTGCAAAAAATTCCAAAAAGATATTTTCTCTTCATCATGCATTATTGAGTTTAGATTGATGGGCTAAAATGATCATTTGATCTTTTAAAAATTAAATCTTTAACATAGTGAAGCGTGTGAAAAGTTAGTTAGCAAGGACCTGAATACTTTATGCAACTATATATGTTGCTAGCTGACAGAGAACCAAACAGATGTCGTGGTGGAACAAAGACTATTCTCAAGTTGATTGTAATATAATACTAAAGTAGACTATAATTTTAAGACATTCATAAGTCAGAGCCGAATGAATTGCTCCCAAGGTCTAAACCCACTTAAAGATCCTTGACACAGAAATGTTTTTGCAGGATGTACTTCTGCTTTTGAATTGGTGACTGACTGAAGAAATGTGCTCTGTAGCCTTTATGGAACAACCTCCTGAGCAGTGACAGGTGTGTGAGGCCAGTGTGGGAGGAAACTGGAAGAAACTGGAGTGAACTGGAGCATCGAGAATCGATTCACTCTCTCTCTCTATTATCTCAGGTTCCTCTCCAGGAAGACGTGAACCAGATCAGACGACGGGGGAAATCACTTTGTGTGTGTGTGTGTGTCTGTGTGTGTGTGCACTCATATGGACTGTATGCGTGCCTCAGTGTGTTCCTGTACTTCTTAGCAGGGAACTATTTGAGTGTTAGATCTTCGGGGTGAGGGCATCTAGCCTGTCCTCACTTCCCAAATGTGGTTATTTTAGGATCAGGACTTGGGTTGAGGTTAATTGGAGTTAATTAGTCCACATGAAAGTGTGGGTGCTGGTGAACTGTGGAGCTAAAGGCCAAGAGCTGGGAAAATCAGTGAGGGTCCTCACAAGAACGGAGATGCTTGTGTACGCGTGTAATTTGTGCATGCAATTGTGCACATATCTGTGTATGTAAATGGAAATGCTGTGCATGTATATGATTATGATGTGTGGGTGTGATGCACTTCAGTCTATTTATGGCGGCTGCCTTTAGAGTATAAGTACAGATTTAATGCTTTCCCTTTGAATTCACAGTGTGTGTACATGGAAGCGGATGAAGACGTCTCCATTCATGCATCTACTTTTCATCTCATTTGTTAGCGTAATATAAGTCAGTGTATTGTGAAAGCTAAACCATATGTTACTATTTAATGGCGGTACTACTGTACCTGAGGTCAGTACCAGGAGCACAGCTGTGTTCCTCCAGCTGTGTAGTAAAAGGCTAATTGAGGTTAATGTTACATGTTGTTTTATTATTGCAAATGTATCTTCTGGAGCATTTGGGCTGTTCTCTGTTTGTCCAGGTGTTAGCTGTAGCTGTTTGTTTGCTAGCTGTGCTGCTTAGAGTGAATTTGCATCAGTTTGCATCAGTTTGAGTCTTTGCTCTGACTCTGAATGGAATTTTGTTGTTGCTAAAATTTGCTTCACATGCAATTTGAACATGCCTTAAAGGAGTTGTTCTACATTTTCGACTGGGTGGGATTTTCTAGGGGCCTCTGGTCTCTATACCACCACCTCTGCTGAATTT